TGGGACACAAGAGCTATTGTTTGCAGTCATATGGTTTTATTTGTGTGTTACTTGGTTTGAAAAAATTAAATCCTGCCTGTTCACTTTTTGCTGATTCTGTCTGTTCAAGGCCTACAAAGTGGGGAAATAACATAGTTGAAGCTCTCATTCTGAATTCAAAATTTCCAAATTGCTAAGTGCATCAGGGGGCTCTCAGCACAGTGCAAACAGAATTTACTCTTAGGAATAAGCTTAATCACAAGTTTGTTTCAGTTAAAACATACTTTGGGGTTGTTGCTTCTCTCTGCTTACCATTACAATTACCATGACCTAATGGGAACTCAAGCTTCAACATATTCTCCAAAATTATAACCACTCCACTTCTTCATAAATTATAAAATCACAAAATTTCCATTTGCTTGTGGCAGAATTTGCTCTGAGTTTACAAGCAGAAGTATATAAGCACCGTCTGCTGCATCTAATGAAAATGAGGCTCATCATTAAGGTCTTCTCATGACAGCTCTGCAGTGGTAAGTGTGAACAAGACTGTCTCACTAGACACTAACAGTGACTATCGGGTGATATCACACTGGTGAACTTTAATTTGTAAATGTAACTTTATTTGAGATGCATGTCTCATTTTAGCTTCCCATGTAATTAGTGAAAAGAGGTGAGTCCTAAACTACAAACTAAATGCTTTCCATTGAGCAGACAACCCATTCCTAACTCGAACTGAAGTTAGGTGCTTTAATTTAAAAGCGTGAATCTCCTCCTTTGGGTACAAGCTGCCAGCATCAGTTAAAGAATATTATAATAGGTGAGGGTTTTGTTCTACCAGGGAGCTCATTTTCTACTCATTAAGCAGGCAAAATCTTCTAACAGAAACAGATGGAAACCACCTAGTACAAAACAGTTAGAATAAAGTTCTAGGTAAACACTTGCAAAAACTTAGATACACAAATCGTTTCATTCTTCCCAGCAGATTCAAGAAGTAAAATAAAACCATATGCACACCTGCCAATATTGTGAGGGGGAAAAAAAAATAAAAGTGCCATATTTTAACATGCTTTAATTAAATTCTGATCTGGTGGTCAAAAAGTACTCATCAGACATCATGGTAGTAATCCAAATTCACATGGAAGCTATACACAGCTTTTATACACCTTTAGGTAGTGTCTACAGGGAAAGTTTAGTGACTGCCAGTTTCACTCTAGGGTGCTGATCCACTGTCATCCCCTCTGCAGGCATACCATAACATTGCTGGACTGTCCCGTGGAGAAAATCAACTAATTTCCTCCAAGGCAAGATTTAAAAGAACATTATCAGGGTTGCAAAGTAATTCATAGTAAAAAAATTCATAGTAAAGGAATATCAAAGCTAAAACAGGTTGTCTTCATCGTTTCCATTTGTAGATCTACCTTGCCACTTGGCTGCATACATCTTAACATCAATTTCATTTTCCTCTTGGTTCCAGCTGAAGAGCTCAATATAAAAAATTATTTATTTCATAATTTGTTCTAAAATCTAGCATACTATTTAGGGCAGAACTTAGGTTTTTTCACCTTCTCCTCTCTATAGGTGTCCTATTTGGCAATTCTCCAGTGAAAGTACCAGCCAGGGTGATATATTTATTAAAATCCTTTGCTGTTGGCCTTACAATAACATTAAAAGAACCAGGACATGAATTTTCACAGATTATTCAATCCCCCTATTTTGTGCAAAGAGAAATATTTTCAGGATGTAAATAAACAAGTTCAAAATGAAGGCTGCATGGGATATTTTATTGTTAAAGGTAATATTAGAGGGACAAAAATACAAATGAAATAACATTTTATTTGATTAAAGAGGTATGTTCTGACAGAAGATTACACTGCAGCTCCAGAAACTTAACTCTCCTGTTTCTGGCCATAGTGAATACTTTAGGAACCTCTCTGAATGCTCACTTTTTTCTGAATGCAAAATTCCTGCAAGACAGAGCATTTAATCCTGTCAGATGTTAAATTTTATCTCTGGAACCTACTCTTTCAGAGCTTATGACACTGCAGAATTGCTAATGCATTTAAAATAGATGTTGTGTACAGGTTTTTTTGTTTTAAAAACTAACAGCCTTCCTTTCTCAAAACTTCAATTATGTGCTGCCTTCAGACACCATCAATTCATGTGAAGAGCTAAGAACTATGGATCCACCACAAAACCATCTTCTGTTCCTTCTCTTACAGCCTTTCTTAGACTACTGCTTCCTCACACAAAACTCTTCCCATTTTGCCTTTCTCAGCTAGTTTTGGTCTTTACTACTTAGCCTTCTGATCAGAATTCAGCTTCTAATAGATACTAGAGTGGAACCATTTTTTCACCTCTCCAGTCGGTCCCACAGGAAACACCTGCTCAGGCTACACAGCCCCACCAATCCCATTTCTCCTGTTCAAGCCTTGTAAAATAGCCTCTGGATATATAAGCCTTAACTCCCTTCCTCATTTCTTACGTTAATCTCTTTGTCCAGCCGATCCTGACTGCTAAATCCTGTTCTTTTTACCCAGAAGAGAAAACCCAATACCCAGTTTCCACTGCCCCAAAAGCTTCCAACCCCTGCATTTCATGGTACTCTACAGCTAGATCCCTTATCCCAGTCTCTTGCCTTGGTTCCCGGGCCAAGGTCAGGCTCTCCACCATTATTCTTTTCAATTTTATAATTTTATATTATAAATTTATAAAACATAGGCAATGAAGAGAAAGAGCCCCTGGTCTTCACTGTGATGTCCAGAGCCAGTCCAGCCAGCAGCACTCCAGGAGCTTCAGTTACAGGAGAGGTCTGCTCAGTCCTGCGCTGTCCCAGTCTGGGCACGCAGAGATGAAGTTTAGGGAATAAGGCTGAAAACATCTAGCAAGCATGAGCTTTTTTGAATTATGCGTTCTTTAAGCAGCTTACAGCTTTGCCAGATTTGGGCTGATTTCACAGAGATAAAAGCTGTCCTTTAGCCAATGGTCACTTCTCTTCCAAGAGTCAAGTCTCCCCTCAGAAAGCACAGATGCACTCAAGCAAGAAAGTTTCCTTTAACAGGGGCCAAGCAGGACTTGAAAGTACTTTTGGCAGCCCACAGGGTATACGTGAAAAAATACATTAGGGTCCACTTTTTCTACATTAATATAAAGCCTACGCAGACTCTCCTCCCACTAATGAGATCATGAAACGATGACCTGCAGATCAAAGATCCCACAGCTACATTTAGAGTTCGACAAAGAAGAGATTATCTTCACTGTACAAAACAATTCCCCTAGTCTCATTTAAAAAAAAATAAAAGGGGGGGGGAGGGGGACTAATTTTTATTAATTTCTACATGAAGCATTTCAGCTAGAATTTTCCCAAACGACCTGCATCAGTCATGTGCCCCAGCTTAAGGAGAGGTCAGATTTCAACTCAGACAGTTATAATTTGACTACATTATAAGCATCTGAAAACAAAGTCCGTAATGGGAAGTGTAAGGCAACTTTAATACTAGGTGGGGCTGATACAACCACTTTATCATAGGGAAACACACTCCATATGCAAGGAGATCAGCCGTCAAATAACCTCCTTCCCGTTATTGCCCTGCAGATCCAGTAGCTCCCACACTTCAAGCCACTTGAATTTTGGCAGCCCAGTGACTAACAGCCAGAAACACAATTTCAAGCTGATGATAAAACAGGAACCTCTCAAAACAACTCGTAACGGCTTTTCCAGCTTGTGATTTTCAGTGGACGAAATAAACAGTATGTACACTTGCTGCTACATTAAATGTTCTAAGTCATCAGTAATTTCTGGAAATTTCTCCAAACCTGAACCTTCAGCTGACAGATATTTTCTGATGCACTCAAAAAGCACACTTTGTATCTAGACAATACTTATTGTGTATTACTAAGGGTAAGGTTAACTCATAGGTACTTCCCCAACCCAGTGCACAATGTAAAAGACTATTATGATGCCAGTGGGTATTTCCGCATTTCTGCAACATGGAACTTCACAGGGAGCTGTACAGAATGTATTTTGCTTGGAGTACAGTAGATAAGCTGTCATTGCTGCTTTGGGAAAAGGGGACCCTACATCTTACTAATTATTACTCCAGAAGCCAGTTTTCCCAAAAGCAGGCTGAGACAGAGTCCTGCTCTCTTAGTCTAGAACACAAATGCACAATAGGTGCAGCACAGAAAAACATACACCGACTTACTGTACACATAAATAAAGACATGCAATTAAGTCACAACAGATATGAATCAACACAGAAACAAACTAAAAAAAAAAAATTAATTACCTACTTTGACAGATTCATACCTGCAGTCTTCTCATTTTAAAGCAAAAAGCCAGGTGAGAGAATATTCAAATTTCTTGCCCATTTGGGTGGCTTCTTTGCACATGTTCCTGAATTTTCAGCTATGATGAGATCTGCTCATTGGCAGTCACCAAGAGGCTGATATGACCATGAAATGAGGAAACACAGTGAACGAAAAATAAGGTACTAGCACCACCATTTGCTGAGGGCTGGAAAAACTAGCACAAACTTTAAGTGACCATGTAGACCTATTTCTATAATGCTAGCTGCTTTTAATTCACTTACCATTGCTGCTGTTGGAGATGCTTGATCAAAACATGCTTTCAGCATTAATTACTTGCCAGGAAAACCTTAATAAAGTCCAGATGATTATTTTTATTCCCAGCACTATAAATCTTCATGTGTACAAACAGTTTCAAACAAGGGGTCTTTTTTAGTCATTTGAATTAAACACAAATATTACTGAGAGCTAACCACATACTGGAAGTGAACATAGAGTGGCTGGCAGAGATGGGCTAAAACCATTTAAGAGAATTACTATGCCCCTGAAAAACATATTTTATTGCCACCCCTTGCCATCCCAATACTAAGAAATACGAGGTTTCTGTGAAGCGACCCTGGAAGGGATGAGCTCTCCTCCTCCAGTAGGGCCCTTCCCTGCTGTCACATGGCGTTTCCATTTCTGCCTCCTGCTTCCTGAAGCAATTTAAGTCTGCTTCTAAGAAAGAGGAGGTCTGTGAAGCAGAAAAGTAGCACAAATCTGATTTAAGCAATTTAAAGGAGCACAGTCTGATTTTAAAAGATACTTGTTAAGAAACAGGTTTCGACACCTGCATTGCAAAGTGCAAATGAGATCAGAATTGATGTAGACTTTTAAAATCTAATTTGCTTCTGCCTTGTCTGCTGTCTGCTAGTTTCATTTAGCTCTTCTTGAGCAAAACAGATGTAGCTCTTATAGATTACATCCATCAAATCAATTCATAATTCTCCTTGCTCTATGGTTTCACATATATATATATATATATACACACACGTACGTATATTCTCCAAGTACAGGGGGTCACGGAACAGAAAAACAGCAGTGAAGTCCAGGCTTTGTAAAGGACTGTACTCGACACCATAAGCAGTCAGTAATATTTTCTGCTGCCAGGCCAAAACTGCTTGTTTCTTGTCCCTTTCTAGGTTCAGGAAAGTGTGCAACAGCCATCATCACTCTTACACACACACACACACTTGCAAGGAAATCAGAAATCAGGCTAAAAAATATGTAATTTGGAGCTTCTGCACTGTTGCTGTTTCTTCTTTCTCACTTCAGGATTTTCTGGGAAGGCCATATGTTCCTTGAACCTCTGTGACTGGCAAGGGAGATACAACTGCAACTGGAAAGATGTGTTAGTCCAAGGAAAAACTCCTACATGGATCAGGGCGACCAAGCTGCGTGGGGCGAGTCCTCGTGGGACAAGAATCAGGCTGCCAACATTCCGCTTCTGTCCCCACATCCCTTTGGTGACACTAAGGACAAAGATGGTAAAAAAAGGAATAAAGATCCCAAAGGAATCCCAAAGGAATAAAAAGATCAAGGAATAAAAACCCCAAAGGTCTATCAGATAGTGAGAAACTTGCGGGTAGAGGAAGCTGCCAGGCAGACATCCTCTGGGTCCTCCAGGGACATAGAAAGAAAGAGATTCATGTGATGGGATAAACCTGAAGGCTTCAGGTCCCAAAATACTGCCAGCTTGACTCCTGTCAAACCACTTTAGAGAAGGTGGCATCTGCTTAGATAACACTGTAGCTTCACACACACTAGACATATGTATACAACGTGCTGCTAATAGGTACGTATGTACTCATGCATGCATTCATGGCACAGCATCACTACACAAACTGGGGGAAAATACCATTTTGCTTGTTTGGCAGTGTACAGGTATCAGTATCTTTTCTACATTAATGCTGACATTAACAAAGATTCTGTTCACAAACAAGCACAAAAATCGGAAATACTTCAGTTAGTCTCCAGCTTCATAAGGCAACAGAAGTAGAAAATAAAACAAGCATAAAATCAGGATTTAACAAATGACAATAAACTTGTATTGTCAAGCTGCTGAAACTGGCACCATTTGAGCAATGGAAGAATTAACAGACACTTTCAGTAATAATATTTATTTACAGGAATCACATAAGCAGATGTATTCAGCATTGCTGGGGATTTTTTGTGCAGTGCTTTCACGCTGCATTTATGGAGTTTATTCTGTGAAGCCCCACATAAAATTCCCATTTCTATTAAAAGATCATTATATCCTATCTTAAAGACAGAGACAATCTTCAGTCCTTTAAGATCTTTGTAAAATCATGACAGTGGTTTTCACTTTTATTCAAAAGGGAGAACGAGCAAAGTGACTGCAGATAAGGGACGCCAGAACAGTGGAAAGCAAGAGGACAAAAGACATGGCTAAAGACACCCGCAGCTTAGCGGGGGGAGCAGCTTTGCTCTTTCAAATACAGAATGCACAATTCTGGTAATCTATTAAAGAAAAATGGATGTTAAAAGAATAAATATATAATTTAACTATTAAAACAGAACATCTAGTTTGCATGATCATTTTACCGGGAGCTGCGTGTTCCTGAAACTTCTACAAAAACAAGAGCTACGTACATCTTGAAATACTGTGTGTTCCCTGGTATGAGGAACGCTGCAACAGACACAAAATACTCCCTCAGGGCAGACAGGGCATGGAGAGGTTTAGATCAGTGTGGTGATGCAACTGTCCAAGCTGACGCTGGAGTTAAACATATGTCCAGCTGATGGTATCGCAGGCAATAGGATTTAGAGGATGACAGTTTTTAAATTATTTTCTTAAAAGGGATATAAGCAAGATAGTGATAAGTAAATCAACTCCTAACCAAGAACATGAGTGAACTTCTTCGTACTGATGAGTTATTCCTGTGCAAGTTTCCTTGCGTAGGAAAGTTACTCAACAACTGTCCTCCGTCTGCAGCACCCAGCTCTGGCCCTTTCCTTTGGTAAGCACCAGCCATGAGAGAATATCAATCAGCTCTGCTGCGGCCAGTCACGCAATTATGTTTTCTAGGCCAGCTCTCTACAGAGAGGTAAGTCAGTTTAAAATATTTACAACTTTAGGTAAACAAAAAGCAGTTAAATCTTTATTCTACAATCCAGAATGCAAATCTCCACATAAAATCATTGCCTATCTTAGGAACAGTCTCTATATTCCTCTTTTTCACTCCTATAAGGTTTTTTCAGCCAGTTTTAATGTTGGGAAGAGTAATTTGACTGAAGTAAAAGTAAATAAAATTTTAAAGGGATTAAAACATATCATTTTATTTGAACCAAGTTTGTGCTGTCAAGATACCGGAAGAACCCCCGATGAACAAGAAGTATCACTGGGAAAATTGATATTAATATTTCCACTATACAATTTCATTAAAGGTTTTGTAATAGATGCACAACAGATGCATCTATGAAAATAGTATATCTCCCTTTCAAAACAACAAATGAACTTGTGACTGTCCAGGTCAGTTAGTTTGTGTACTGACAGACTGGGTTTTCAATAGCTGACCTTTATCAGATTGGCTGACTGACAGTGGTTTGGTCGGTCATTCTGTTAAAGGCAAATGTGTATTTCTTGGCCGCAGAATAAAAATGTTAATTGGTTAACAGTATATCGGGCCCTGTTTCAATCCGATACCCTTTTGTCGTTGTTGTTGCTAGAATCACATTTTTTTATCTTGGTATTTAGCTAAATTACTAGCAATAAAATCAAAGTAAATTTAAATCAATAATTGCATTCAGAAAATTTATACCAAAGCTATAAACAGAAGCCAGTGCTATGGGCATTTCCAACAGGGACTGAAACATGCAGGCCACTCAATAAATGGGATATTCCTATTAATGCACAATTTTTCTCAGCACAAGGAACATGACTGAACTCTTTCAGATGTCTACACTGATACATAACATCGTTTGACGTTTTCATCAGGTTAAACTCACCTGGACGTAACAGGACAAATTCTGACACTCTTGGAACTGAATGCCTTCAGCTCTTTAGGATGTTGCTCCTTCCAGAAGTACACACGCTAAGAGGCCAGCCACGGCTGGCTAACCATGCTGGACTCGCTTCTTTGCATCTGATAGATAATCTAAACCAAATGACAGTGGAAAAAGCAGCTAGTTGACATACCACGCGAAATGCGGCGATCCTGTAGTTCTGTGACAGCAACCAACTGTTTGAATTAGTTTGGCAATCTTTTGAAGCACCGACAGAGCATCCTTGGGAGTATGACACAAGACTGTTAGGCAACAGCCTCCAAGTCTCACTCTGTGATAGCAACAGCATCAGTAGCATTTTGTCTTCCAGTTCTTTTAGCTGTTCTTTATTTATACAGGCAATATTTTCCTGTCAGTTCTAAATTTGCATTGTTTCACTGACAGCTGCTGCCTACTTCCTAAATACTAGCATCATGCTCACTTTGTACCTGTTAGCTGGTTTATTTTGGTTGAAAATTCCCACAAATATGTGCATCGTCTCCAAAAACATACCAGGCAAAAGTGTTCTCAAGCTTTTTCCTACACAGACAACACTTAAATTGTATTATGCACTGGAATTTGTCTTCCTACATTATTTCTTACATTATTAGCACGTTTTCCTGTTTCACAATAGCTCTTCATACTAGCCTAGCAAGTAAAATATGACATCTGGAGTAAACACCAGTTTTAGTTGCCCGCTACTATTTAGTAACAGACTAAAACATGCAAGTACACATATAATGGAATATATTAAAGAAACTGCACTAGAAAATTTGAGGGATTTTGTATTTCACTTATTTTGGACTACCTAGACTTCTGAGCATAGGAAAAAACAGAAGCAGTTAAACAAGAAATCCCATAATAGCCAAAGTATTTAACTTATTGCTAGAGTACAATTTCCTTAATTTTTAATTTGTCTTCTTGCCTTGTGGCTCTTTAAAAAGCTAAAGTGTTACTCTGCTATGGGTAAGACTTTAAAAACAACTATAAATGAAATACTGAACTATAGCT